ACCTGGGCAAAGACACAGAGGAGCCGCCTGGTCAGCAGGCACCCATACCTTGCCTGGACCACAGGGTCAGTGAACTCCAGGTTCATCAGTATCTTTCTCTATATCCCTCCCCTGGGTACCAACAGATGCCCATTCTGGAGACCATCAGGGCTCAGTGGGCATTGTCAGACCTTTCCTGTAAGGATCCAAATCCAGTGGACCCAGGACCCAGGTTGTGGGTCTGAAAGGCCTAGCATAGGGATGAGGTGGGATAATTTGTGCTCACCTCTGGAGGCTGCCAGCTAATGATGTTGTCAATGTCCTTTTGCTTTCGGAACTCCACGTGCTACAAAGACACAATGGGGAAATTTTTAAAAGGAGGGATGGACAACTGGGCATGGTGGTTCACACCTGTAATCCTAGCAATTTGGGAGGCCACGGTGGATGGATCACCAGCCTGGCCAACATGGCAAAATCCTGTCCCTACTAAAAATAGAAAAATTAGCCAGCCGTGGTGACACACGCTTGTAATCCCAGCTACTCAGGTGGCTGAGGCATGAAATCTCTTGAACCCAGGAGGTGGAGGCTGCAGTGAATTGATATCGTGGCACTGCTGCACTCCAGCCTGAGCCTGGGTGACAGAGCGAGACTCTGTCTCCAAAAAGAAAAAAAGAAAAGAAAACAAAAAGCAGGGATGGTGGGGGAGGTTTAATAGGCACGTAGCAATAAGCAACAATGTGAATGGACCACCAGATCGTAAGTGGTCACCAGAAGGCATTAGGCAGGAATGGAAAAGAAGGCCCTGCCTGTGTTAGAGGTCCTAGCAGAACAGATTACCATTCTTGACTGGCCCAGAGCTATGAAAGCCTGTGTTGCCAGGGAAGGGAATGCAGTTTGTCCCAGAGGGATAAGGCAACAGTGGTCAGCTGATACTCAAAGCCAAAAGCTGTTATCGGGATGGGAGGTGCAGCAAAAGAAGTCCACGCAAGGAGTGATTCTGATGGGGAGGAACTGAGGCAACAGTGGGATTCAGAGTCAAACGTGTCTCACCTTCCGGAGCATGGCCTCCGACTTCTGCAGGTCGAAGCTTCTCGCTGCAACAAGGAAACAGTTCTGGTCAGGGTTAGGTTAGCAGGACTGGGTGTCCAAGGATGGGGAGATTCCCATATTCCCATCACAGGGCCAGTTCCTCTCAGTCATGTCTCCAGCTAACCCTCAGACCATCCCACAAGCAGAAGCTAACGTGAGAGCCTTTACTGAGAGCTTCTGGGGCACCAGAGGCCCCAGGTTTGCGAGGAGAGCAGGTCAAAGTTCAGGGCAGCTGGGGGCAGCCATTGTAACTTCAGGGTCAAAAGAGCTTTACTCCAGTGTTAAAATCAACTTAAAGGTCTTCCCTCCTCTCAGCGAAAATGAACCCTGGATCCTCTTATCATTTGGCCTTCCCCTTACACAGACAAACTTTATCTCTTCCACAGTCTCACATCCAATCCTGAGACCTTAACACCATGGTTCAAAGATGAACATACCAGCCTGGGCAATACAGTGAGACCTCCTCTCTCCAAAACAAAAACAAAAACAAAAACAAATTAGCCACAGGTAGTGGCATGTGCCTGTAGTCCCAGCTACTTGGGAGGCTGAGGTGGGAGGATTGCAGTGAGCTGAGAACTCACCACTATACTCCAGCCTGGGTGACAAAGCAAGATCCCGGCCCAAGAAAAACAAAAAACAAAGATGAATATAGCTGCCCCTGTAATCTGTGGCAGAGCTGGCAGAACAGCCTGGTGGGATAGAGGAGTTGATGAGCCTCCACCCAACCTTGTCCTGTCCTCAAAGGGCCCACACGTTCCCTAAAGCCACACAAAGGGTCTGCCTCCCAGGGCTCCTGACAAGTTTCAGAATTCAGTTTCACCTGGGTCACCTCTTTATGCATGATGCCCCAAAAGTTGTCCTGCTCCAGCTTGAACACAAAGACCTCACTGACCCCCAAGGCCACTTACTCCCAGGTAATCATAGCTGCAATTTGCACTCAGCTGTCATGACATACTGAGCTGAGATTCATTTCAGGGATACTCCGAGATTAGGATCGCCTCCTTAGCCACATGACAACACTTCTAAGACTGGAAAATTCTGTGCTGTCACCCTGCATCTCCCCTACCATCATGCTGCCCATCCTTGGAGCCTTTACCAAGCCCCACAGCTTGGTCTCAAGTCCATGCAAATAACTTCCCTTTGAATGTTTTCCAGTTTTCCAGGGCCCCCTCGGAGTGTGCTCTTAAGAGCCACACAGAGCCCCAGGTGTTGTCTAATAACTTTCTTTTTCTTTTCCTTTATTTTTTATTTTTATTTTTTTGAGACAGAGTTTCACTCTTGTCTCCCAGGCTGGAGTACAATGGTGCGATCTCAGCTCACTGCAACCTCTGCCTCCCAGGTTCAAGCGATTCTCCTGCCTCAGCCTCCTGAGTAGCTGTGATTACAGGCATGTGCCACCACACCTGGCTGATTTTTATATTTTTAGTAGAGATGGGGTTTCACCACGTTGGCCAGGCTGGTCTCAAACTCTTGACCTCAGATGATTCACCCGCCTGGGCCTCCCAGAGTGCTGGGATTGCATGAGCCACTGTGCCCGACCTAAGAACTTTCTTGTCAACAGGCACACCCTTAACTCAGGTGGAGCTTATAGGCACTGAAACCCCCCCACAAATCCTTTTCACCTGTGCCAAGCCTCCACTGCATACGTGGAGAGGAGAGACCTTAGATCCTTCCCTATCAAATTTCCTCATGTTACAGTCAACTTCAGTCCATCCTTTAAACAGTTTTGAGATCCAGATTCTGATCAGTTTTGCCATCTGACCTATGAACTGTCCCTCCCAGTTGTATGTCCTCTGTGGATTTGGCATCTAGATCTGCTGACAGCCCTGGAACCTGGGCCAGACAGGCTGCCCTCTGGACTGTCACTGGTCCCTTAACCATCGCTCTCTGGGAGTGCCGAGCACATTCCCTGACTCTGCTGTTACAAAAATCAGTCCCTTCTCCCGGGCCCATAGGCTCCCTCAAGAGATTTGACCAACGCCACACCCATCACAGGTGCCAGACACATCCTGGCAGAACTGAATCCCATCCTTCTTCGTGTGCTGCCGCGATAGCATGGGACAGCTTTTAGAGGAATATCTTCTGGGTTTGCTTCCCAGCTCTTCATTTCTCTGCTTGACCTTGGACGAGATCCTGTGCACCTCTGACCAAATCATCTGATAAGCTAGAAACACTTGGAAGATGCAAGGCACTGTCCTCTCAAGATGGGGGAGTTGGACCATGAAAATGAGAATCTTCCATAGGAAGGACACCACTACTGTGAGAAGAACCCTTATCTTCCTAGGGAACAGGAGTGGTGGCGAACTGTGAGCCCCTTATCGTGGGGAGGCTATCCAGTTAACCCTTATCTGCCAAGGCCCAACATCCAGCATCTTCTGTGAGGGCTCTCCCAGAGTTGCTACCTGCTCCTGGCAGTACCACACCTGGGGCCTCCCCATGCCTGATTGAGGCTTCTCCAGGCTCCTGCTGACCTGGTCAGGGGCAACTCAAAGCATGACTTGGGGCACTGCAAGAACCCAGCTCAGGAACAGCCGTCTGGGTGGTGGTGGTTCATTCATTCCCTAGACCTGTAAAACGCAGAGACTCAGACTGGTTCTGCCTTCCTCCCAGGCCCTCCACCACATCCTTGTTTTATCCTGCTGTCTGATCCTTCTTGCTGGGGTGCCCAGAGCTCAGCCTTAGTCAGGGGGAAGCAGAGGAGACTTGTGGACCTGCTCTCCGTGCCTGGAAGCCAGCAGAAAACTGAAGCCCTCAGTGGAGAAAGGGAGGAAGAGGAGCCCCAAGCCCACACCTAGGTTAGGGACAGACATTCTGCTAGTGTGTGGCTTTTTGAAAGGTCTCTGTCAGATTGAAGGAGAGAAAGAGAAAAGGCTGTTTGTTTTCTTTGAGACAGAATCTTGCTCTGTCGCCCAGGTTGGAATGCAGTTGTGCGATTATAGCTCACTATAGTCTCAAACTACTGGATTAAGCGACTTCCCACCTCAGCCTCCTGAGTAGCTGGGACTACAGGTGCACACCACCACACCCAGCTAATTTTTCTTTTTCTTTTTTAAGTAGAGGCAGGGTCTTGCTATGTTGCCCAGGCTAGTCTTGAATTCCTGAGCTTAGGTGATCCTCCCACCTTGGCCTCCCAAAGTGCTGGGATTACAGGCATGAACCACTATGCCAGGCCTTGGTTTTTTGTTGTTATATTTTGGGTTTTGTGTTTTTTTAAGGACAAAACAAACAAACAAAAAAACCAATTGAGATTCATATTAGGTTCTGACCAGGCCTGAGCTCCTGCCCGGGAAATGTGAGGCACAAATGAAATGCAGAGGAGACACTTCCTCTGTTGTAAGAGGCTGAGCTTGGCTTTAAGGAGCAGGGGTGGCTTCCTGGAAAGGATACTGGCCTGGAGGCTGGAGCCCTAGGTTTCTGCCCTGATTCTGCTTCACATTAACTGTGTAACTTCAGGTAAGTCCTTTCCCCAATCTGAGCCTGTTTTCTCATCTGGCAAATGAGAATGACCACGCTCTTTGAATGACCGCCACTGTGAGGGGGTAGGTTGTGCCTGAAGTATGAGGCTCCCCAGGAATCGACAGACCAGCTGCCAGGACCCCTCACTGGCCCCTGCCTCAGTAAGAGAGCTGTTATTGCTGTTCAGTGGCTCTCAGAAACTATGCTTCTCCCTGGAACAGCAGCTCCCTAGTCTGCTGGATCGTTTTGCAACTGGCCCTTTAAGAAGGCTACTATCTTCCCACTCTCTCCACCCACCTGCTTCTAGCTGCAGCCCTTCAGCAAATGCTGGGCCAAAATTTCCTCCAGCCTGGACTGATTCCATTGCCGCCCCCACACTGCCCCTCCCACACTGCCCCTCCACCCTCTCTGGGCGGTAGACTGGGGTAGGGGGATGGGATGGAAGCTTTTTTGGGGAAAGGGGCAAGTGACACTTCCAGAGGCTCCTGGATGCATCTGCTCTCAGATGTTTACAGGCAGCCTCTCAGGAGCATGCCAGCTCTATGAAATTTCTGGAAAGAAAAGGAAAATACATTTCTTCACCTGCCCCCAGACTCCTAGGGTGTGCATGTGCATGTCTTTATGTGTCCATAAAGAAATAATAGGGCCAGTCACAGTGGTGTGTACTTGTAATCCAAGCTACTCAGGAGGCTAAATGGGAGGATCACTTGAGCCCAGGAGTTTGAGGCCAGCAAGACCCTGTTTCAAAAATAAAAATAGGCCAAGGCGGGCAGATCGTGAGGTCAGGAATTTGAGACCAGGCTGGCCAACATGGTGAAACCCTGTCTCTACTAAAGATACAAAAAAAAATTAGCTGGGCGTGGTGGCATGTGCCTGTAATCCCAGCTACTTGGGAGGCTGAGGCAGGAGAATCGCTGGAACCTGAGAGGCGGAGGTTGCAGTAAGCTGAGATCGCACCATTGCAGTCCAGCCTGGGTGACAGAGTGAGACTCCGTTTCAAAAAAATTATTTATTTATTAATAAATAAAAAAAATAACGGCCAAGTGTGGTGGCTCATGCCTGTAATCCTAGCACTTTGGGAGGCTGAGGTGGGCAGATCACCTGAGGTCAGAAATTCGAGACCAGCCTGGCCAACATGGTGAAACCCTGTCTCTACTAAAAATACAAAAATTAGCCAGCGTGGTGGTGGGAGCCTATAATCCCACGTACTCAGGAGGCTGAGGCAGGAGATTCACTTGAACCTGGGAGATGGAGGTGGCAGTGAGCCGAGATTGCACCATTGCACTCCAGCCTGGGCAACAGAGCAAGACTCCATCTTTAAATAAATAGATAAATAAATAAATAAATCACTTGAGACCAGGAGTTCAAAGCAGCAGTGACCTGTGATCATGCCCACTGCCTGGGCAGCAGAGTGAGACCCTGTCTCAAAAAAATAATAATTAAAATTAAAATAATAGGGCATAATTTGTACTTTAATATTTTAGGATATGATTCTACACCACAACTTAAGCTCTGCTAGAACATAGTGGAATTTTCTGATTGGACGTAGTGGCTCACACCTGTGATGCAAGCACTTTGGGAGGCCGAGGCAGGCGAATCACTTGAGGCCAGGAGTTTGAGACCAGCCTTGCCAAGGTGAAACCCAGGTCTCTACTTTAAAAAAAAGTAGTGAGACAGAGTCTCACTCTGTCACCCGGGCTGGAGTGCAGTGACACAACCTTGGCTCACTGCAACCTCCATCTCTGCTAATTTTTTTTTTTTTTGAGACGGAATCTCAAATTTGTGTCTCCCAGGCTGGAGTGCAGTGGCGCGATCTTGGCTCACTGCAAGCTCCGCCTCCCGGGTTCACGCCATTCTCCTGCCTCGGCCTCTGGAGTAGCTGAGACTACAGCCGCCCGCCACTACACCTGGCTAATTTTTGTATATTTAGTACAGACAGGGTTTCACCATGTTAGCCAGGATGGTCTCAATCTCCTGACCTTGTGATCCGCCTGCCTCGGCCTCCCAAAGTGCTGGGATTACAGGCGTGATCCACCGTGCCCGGCCCACCTCCATTAATTTTTTTGTATTTTTAGTAGAGACAGGGTTTCACCATATTGGCCAGGCTGATCTCAAACTCCTGACCTCGTGATCCGCCCACCTCGGCCTCTGAAAGTGCTGGGATTACAGGCATGAGCCACTGTGCCCAGCCTACTTTTTGAGATGGAGTCTTGCTCTGTCACCCAGGCTGGAGTGCAGTGGCATAATCTCAGCTCACTGCAACCTCTGCCTCCCGGGTTCAAGCGACTCTCCCACCTCAGCCTCCTGAGTAGCTGGGATTACAGACGCCTGCCACCACGCCCAGCTAATTTTTGTATTTTTCAGTGGAGATAAGAGTTTCACCATGTTGGCCAAGCTGGTCTCAAAGTCCTGGCCTCAAGTGATCTACCCGCCTAGACTCCTAAACTGCTGTGATTACAGGCGTGAGCCACCGTACCTGGCCATAGTGGAATTTTGTTTATTATTTCTATGTCTGTTAATAAAATTTCTATATAGAGGGGGAAAAAAAAGTGTCAGAAGAATCAGGGAGGGTGGCACATGACCTGAATCACAGGAGAGGAGAGGAGGGGAAAGAATGGAAACATCTCAGGGATTGGGGAACCGGGCTGAATTTGACCCTCATGCCGGTAGAAATGTGTGCATTTCAGCACCACATGCAGAGCTCTGTCATGCCACGTCTGGCAGCAGGCAGGTTTTGTCCTGCTCTTCCAGAGGAGGATCCTAGGGAACTGTTTACTCTGAACCAGGCACCACAGCCAGGCCAGGGAAGAGCTGGAACCAGGACCTGGGCTCTAGAGCCTGGTGGTGGTTTGAGGAGACTGTTGTCACCCTAGGTCAGGCTGTGCCCCTCAGGTTCCCCATGCACTCTGTCCCTCCCTCAAGTTGCCTAAACTGTGGTCTGTAGGGATCTGCCATCACACCAGGGCATAGCAGGGGCCAGGACTCTGGTTCTACACTCGGCTGTATCTCTGACCACCCACATGGCTGGGGCCTTTCTCACTTTTTCTTCAGCTCATTTCCCCAACTCCCTCTCAGAGCAGATTTCTCGAGTGGATGGAAAAGGCTGTGGGCCCAGGGTCAGCCGACCTGGACTCTCCCCTTTTCTCTGCTTGCAACTCGCTCACTGTGTGGCTTGGAGCAAGTCACTTCACCTCTCTGAGCCTCAGTGTCTTTATCTACTAGGAGGGTTGAACTTATGTCATTGTCAAGGGCCTTTTGGCGCTAAAGGTTGGACACTCCGGATGCCCCAATTGCCAGGGGCAGGGTTTTCAGAGGGTGCCATTCTGTTGCCCAGAACAGGCCCCTGCCACAGCCTCCCACAGCCCCTCTTCCCTCACCTCGGAGCCAACGCAGGAGAAAATAGTCATCTGGATTTGGCAGGGCCGGCAGCACATCCTGGACATTCTCCCGAAACTGTAGGGAGAGGCATCAGGGTGAGTGATAGGGCCCACCCTGACTGCCCTCTGCCCAGGACTCTCCACTGAGGTCTTTGCTGGACCCCTCTTTAACATGGTTCAACTCTGCAGACACTACCTGGGCACTCATCCTGCCTGGAGTACTCTCTTGTCAGGGGGTGCCAGGTAGCAGGGCAGGAGGTGGGAAAGGAGTGAGACACTGCCCCTGCCCCACAACAAGGGCTCCCACACACCAGTCTGGGGGCAGGCAGAGGTGTTCCCAGCTAATCGTGATAGTAGGCACTCTGGTACGGACTACAGTAAAGACTGTCAGTTTACCAAGCACTCCCTGTCACCCAGCGCTGATCCTGGCACCGTAGCTTATTTACTCCTCACTCACAACCTGTAGAAGTATTGTCCCCATTCTACAGATGAAGGAATTAAAGCTCAGAGAGGCTAAGTAACATGCTCAAGGTCAAACAGCTAGTCATTCGCAGAGCTGGGTTGCAAACCCAGGTCTGTCTGAGTCCAGAGCACATGCTGTTTCCACCATGGTCTTCTGCCCCATGGAATGGTGAGGAGTTTGCTGGGGAGCAGAGGGAAGAAAGAGGTGGTCTCACATCGCTTCCTATAAAACTTGGCATTTGTGCTGGGCTTGGAGGACTTCAAAGGCATCAAGGGGAAGGAGGCGGGCAACTCAGGTGGAGGGAACGGTTCCAATAGGGGAAGCCAGGAAATGGGAAAATGCAGGCAGTGCCAAACAAAGGAGGTGGACACTGACCTCAAGGGACAACTACACCTACCTCCAACCTCTCACTCCCTGGTAGGTGAGCGGGCCCCCATATGCCCTCCCTGAGCTTCCTGCTCCCAGCCATTGACCTTTCCCTGGCCACTGACCTACAGGGCAGTCCTAGAGGAGACTAACGAGGACTGGCCACCTCTGCCCCTTGCCTAGGTCGGCCAGGGACTCAGACCCCCCCACCCCACAAAGCAGCTCCCAATGCTCCAGGGAAACTGCTCCTCCAAACTGCAGGCATGAAGCTACCCCTCTCTAAGGACCCTAGCCAGCCCCTGGTCTCCAGTTTAATCACCACCTAATCCCTTCTCTGTCTGACCTCTCCTGCGAGTCAGCAGTAAAATCTGAAGCCTCCCTGTCCAGACTTCCTGGGATGGGGGAGGCCCAGCCTGGGACAAAGCCTTCATGGAGCTGGTGCCTCCCCACTGCTGTCAGTGGCAGGAGACATCTGCCCCCCGCCCCACCTTTCCCAGCCATGGAAAACTCCCCAGCTGTGGAGCCTCCAAATCTTGGGGCCAGACCCAATCGGCTCTTGCCCAGAGAACAGCCGACCTCCTCACTCCCCAGGGGTGACAGAGAAGAGATTTAGTTGGTGAAGAGGAAGGTCCAGCCCTCAAACTGTTGCCCCCTCCTTGTCACAGGTGCCAAGGCAAAGCCAGGCTCACCTTCTTGCCTTCTGAGGAGCATAAACCTTAAGTCCTGAGCCAGGCAGGGGTCTGGGATGCAAGACGGGATGGCTGGTCTCAGTTCAAACTAACCCCAACCCAGTGCGTCATGGGGGGAGCCTGGAATTCACACATGGAGGTGTTCCCTTCAACATCATCTGGTCCAACCTCCTCATTCCATGGCATCAAGGAGCAAAGAGAAGGGCAGGGTTTTGCCCAAGGTCTCACAGCAGCTTGGTGCTGGGGCAGGAGCTATCCAAGTCTCCCAAGGAGCTATCCAGAGCCCTTTCCACCGTGCCACTGCCCCTGCAAGAAGAAAGCCTCCCGGAAATGGGAGAAAACTTGGGCCCCTGCCCCTGCCCCTGCCCCAGGGCCCGGCTGCCAGTCTCAAGGATGAATGTTGCCTTTGTGCTCTCAGCGGCCTCTGGGGACTCACAAGCAACCACTTCTTCCCAGGTGGCACTGCCACGGCTGCTTGGAGCTTGGGCGGGGGATGGCCAAACTTCCTGGGATCTTGAGGGTGGCAGAGGGAGGAAGGAGCCATCCGGGGCGCAGGCCAGGCTGGGGCAGCCGCCTCTGCTCCCGCCGCCGCCCGCCACGGACCCTCGGCCCCCATCAGCCCCGTCCCTTCTCGCTGCCGCAGGCGGGCGAGGGCCACAGCCCGGGGCGGGAGCCCGGGCCAGGGCTAGGGCTCACCTTGGCCAGTGCCTCCTTCTGTTTGGGGCTCAGATCCCCGACTCTGCCGCTCATCGTGGCTCAACCGCAGGGATGGGGTTTGGAGGCGGGAGGCGGCGGGTGCGGCAGCTGATGGAGCACAGACTCGTCCTCGCCGCCACCCGGGGTAAAGTCCCAGCCTTTTGCCCGGGCCGCGGAGCCGGCAGCCAAGCCCCGCCTCTTAAAGGATCCCGAGGGGCGGGGTAGGGAGCGCTGCACTGGGGCGCGGGAGGCTCTGACATGGGCCCCCTCCGCCCTCCTGAAGTCAGAAACCCAGGCAGGAAGCGAGCAAGTGCGCCCACCGGGACTGAGGCCAGTCGGCATCAGAAGGGCAGGGAGTCTCAGTTTTAGTTCCAAATTTACTCTTAGCTCATAGTGTGACCTTGGGCGAGGCACCTGAGCTCTCTGGGCCTCTGAACAAGGAGGGATTGAAAGGTGCTATCTAATGAGCTCTTCTAACCAGGCTCCCATAGTGCAGGACTGCACAGCATCCTGCACGCAGGGATTGCTCTGTTTTTGTTTTTGTTTTTTTGAAACGGAAACTCGCTCTGTCACCCAGGCTGGAATGCAGTGGCACGACCTCGGCTCACTGCAACCTCTGCCTTCCGATTTCAAGCTATTCTCCTGCCTCGGCCTCCCAAGTTGGGATTACAGGTGCACGCCACCATGCCAGGCTAATTTTTGTATTTTTAGTAGAGACTGGGTTTCACCGCGTTGGCCAGGCTGGTCTCAAACTCCTGACCTCAAGTGATCCTCACGCCTCGGCCTCTCAAAGTGCTGGGATTACAAGTGTGAGCCACTGTGCCCGGCCTACAGGGATTATTAATAAATGTTTCCTGAATGAATGAATGAATGAATGAATGAATGTAAGAAACGCTCCAATAGAGCCACAGATCCCGGTGCTGGCAGAACCCTGGGAGGGAGAGAGAAACATAGATCATTCAGGGATCATGCAACTTACCTCATTTAACAGCTTGGGAAACTGAGGCCCAGACAAGGCATGGCTTATCCAAAGTTGTTAGTGGCATGACAGATGTGGAGTGCCCATTGCCTGGCACATGGAAAGTACTTAGCTGTGCCCTCCCCTTATGGCCTGGAATTAATGCAGAGCTAGGCCGAGGAGTCTGTGGGCATCTCATCTCCCAGAGCCATACCTCGGCTCCCTCAACACTCAAGTCTCTGGGAGACAGAAAGCAGAATGTCCCCAGTCTCTCTCCTTACCCGGAGGCAAAGGCACCAGGCCTGTTAAAGACATTTAAGGACTTTGCTCTGCCTTGGTGTGGCCCCCACCATAGAGGTCTGCTGCAGGGTGCAGAGTGAGGGTTGAGGCCCCCAGTGCCCACCTCTGCAGAGAGTTTTCAGGCAGCTCTGCCCTGGTTAGTCTCACTGGCTTCTGGCCTGGGGCAGGACAGGGCTGCCTTCCTCACTGGATATATGGCTAAGATCTTTATATAAGACCCTTCCAGGGCCAGGATGTTCTTTCCAGGGTAGAGCCTACTCAAAGGAAACTATTATAGAAGAACATCATCTTGGTCAGGAGCGGTGGCTCATGCCTATAATCCCAGTACTTTGGGAGGCCAAGGCAGGCAGATCACCTGAGGTCAGGAGTTCGAGACTAGCCTGGCCACCATGGTGAAACCCCATCTCTACTAAAAATACAA